GAGACATTCATTGATCAGCTGCCTCCTGCACGCCTCACACTGGGGAAGGAGCCTGCAACCCAGGCATGTGCCCTGACCAGGAATCAAACTGTGACCTCCTGGTTCATAGGTCGATGCTCAACCACTAAGGCATGCTAGCCAGGCACAAGCAGTGTTTTTAACAGAACTTCAGGAACTCCTCCCTCTAACGATGGGCTGGCCCCTGCTCACAGACCTCCCTCGTGGATGGAGGTGCCGTCAGAAGGATGCGCGCCCTCCTTCCTGCAGGTCTGACGTAGGACACAGTGCCGGAGGGGAACTCTGGTAGGAGGGATGCTCAAATAGCAATGCCTTGCTTCTAAGCCAGTCCAGTATTTCACGGACAAGCCTTCTGTTGGAACACAAAGACATCTAAATCTTTCCATGTGAAAAGGGCCGGGCCTCCGACGGGCACCCTGACCTGAAAGGAGAGCCAATGAAGTTCGTAATAACGGCACCTGACTTTCTGGGCTGTTTATCGCCATTTGGAGATGATCTGAGTCTGAATATTCACTCGACTGTTTATATAAACGAAGACTCAGAATCAATTCCATCACTGGGATCCCTTCACCTGCCACAAATGTACTCACTATCCAGTCCCTGTAGTTGGCGTACGGAAATTAAAACGTTAGCCAGCTTCATCAGTGCTGACTCCTTCTCCCTCGAAAGCCACCCTTGGGTGGTGTGAACGAATATAAATTCAAAGTAAACATCATTACATAAAAGGGTACGGTCTTTTTTTTTTTTAGTTTTATTCATTTCAAACGGGCCGGATCCGGCCCGCGGGCCGTAGTTTGCCCACGGCTGCACTATCCAGGTCCCTGTAGTTGTTGTACGGAAATTAAAACGTTAACCAGCTTCATCAGTGGTGACTCCTTCTCCCTCGAAAGCCACCCTTGGGTGTGCTGATAGAATCTAGTTGGATGGTCATAAAGGAGGAGACGGGATGAGGTAAGAAACCAGCAGACTTTCAATGTGAAAGTCACCACTGTGGAGCGAGATGGGGCTGTTCGAGGGGGAAGTCTTTATCTTTGGTGCCAACTGCCATGTGTCACTCTTAGTTGAATAACGTGTAGGGAAGATCAAAACCAACGCCACTCCGTCCTAACGGGGCAGCGCCAGCAGCGGCCTGCTCACCGCACCTTTCTAATCAGCATGAGTGCGTCCTCAAGGTCACGTCCCACAGTGCACGTAACTAAACGACTGCTCGTCCGTCCGGGGACACAGGGTCAGACCCGCGCTAGCAGCTCCGTAAGGGAATCTGCGTGTTAATACTGTGATGAGGAACAGCAAATGCATCAAGGAGAAGAGCTGATCCGTGATGTTTCCCAAAAGAAACGGAGGCTCCGGGCGACTCGGGGGCTGCTCGGAGCCCACAGCTGGGCCGCAGGCGGTCTCTGCTCCAAGGCACCCATGTGCCTGGCGACTTCTCCCCGCCACCTCCCCAGAGGGCACCGGAGCCCGGGCCACCCTGCAGCACTGAATGGGAGTCAGACGATAGCCCCTGAATTATTGACGGCGAGTAGCATTTGCTAAGAATCCACAACAAAGACCTCGGGGACCCGGAAAGGCCATCGGGTGTAAGTCTTGCGTTTTCATCGCCACGGACGCCGACATGACTCCCTCTTCAAGATCGAGACGAAGATGATCTGGAGGTTTAGTTTGAGGCGAATGTCAACACAACACGCAAACGGACCTTCATCACACACATTTCAAGAGTGACGTGAAGGGTACGGGATGAGGAAAAGAGGACAAATCAGAACTAGAAGCCCCACCAAAGCTAAAGTAACTGCTCAGAAGACGGCCCGTCTGCGGATTTAATGGGGGTAGGAGGTGTCTAATACAGGACCACGGCATAGAAGGAAATCATAAGAATGTTTTAAAAGACCTGACAAAATTATGCTCCGTCGAACTACGTAATTCTAAGGGCTGGGCGTATAGTTCCTAAAAACTTCTGCACTAGATTCCCGTGGGTTAACGCCTCGCTTTAGAAGCAGACACAAGCAAAAATGCCAGATGCAGACACTGTAATTTCACGCGTATGAGATGCTGCAGGAGATACACGCACCCTGATCCACAGTGACAGGTGGCCTGGGCTGGGCGTGGGGTGGGAGGGACGGGGAAGCTGGGAGAGATGGGAGGATCTACCTCTGGAGCGGGCGACGGTTACACAGGTACACAGATGTGTCAAAACTCGCTAAACTGCACACTCACAATGGCTGCGTTTTGTTGCGTAGACGATTGAAAATCAAGTCGTTCTAAGAAAAAACCAAGCAAGCACAAAATGTCACCGCTGTGTGTACGGCCACATCTTTTCTCTCGCATGTTCTCACTGGGACCGACCCACTGTATTGCAGTCGTGGGGTGAACTGCGTCCCCCAAATACCCATCCGTTAAAGTCCTGGCCCCCACACCTCAGACTGTGACCGTAATGGGGATAGGGTCCTGGGATGTGGTCGAGAGGAGGCCACACCGGAGCAGGGGGCCCTCGGCCAGCATGGCTGGCGCCCTGATGAAAAGGGGGCTTAGTGTCCCAGCGTCGATCCACGCACCAGTTCCCGGATCCCTCCGGTCAGGGCTCATGCCCGGGGACAGGCTCGGTGCCCCGGTTAGGGACTGGATCCCCAGGAGGGGGTGTGCAGGAGACCCGGTTTCTGCATCTATGATTTATATGCGGATAATAACCCATGTTTTACTCTCTCAAAGGGCTGCTGTAAGGAGCATGCACGCGCAGTCCACACGACAGGATGTTACTGTCTGAAGAACTAAAGCTACGGCCCCGTGGACATCCTACTGTTATGGGACACAGCGACTCCGTCTGGAGACACAGCGGCGGGCCCCGGGCCCCTGCGGACACTGTGCTCCTTTCAGAAGAGCGTCCGGCCGCGGGAACACAGTCTGCGGCCCGGGGCTGAGGTGTCAGGCTGGACTCGGGCCGGCACCACTCAGAGCCCCCTGGGCTGCGGTCCGAGCTCCCTCACTGGCCGCCCAGCTAAGAGCACGGCTGGAACCACCGCCCGCGCCCGTGTGAGGTGCGCACCGAGGCCGAGCCGAGAGGTAGGGTGTGGGCAGGGTCGGGGCAGGGGCTGGGGGCTGCAGAGGGGCCCTGCCCACAGGGCGGGGAGGGGTGCCAGCTCAGGAGCTTCCCCACTGTATCCAGAGTGGCTTCTAATGCCAACGCCAATGCCCGGTGACCCCTCTCCCCGCCTGGGGGCGAGGTGACCAATGCCCGGTGACGCCTCTCCCCGCCTGGGGGTGAGGTGGCCAATGCCCAGGGTGTCCCCTCTCCCCGCCTGGGGGCGAGATGGCCAATGCCCAGGGTGACCCCTCTCCCCGCCTGGGGGTGAGGTGGCCAATGCCCAGGGTGACCCCTCTCCCTGCCTGGGGGCGAGGTGACCAATGCCCGGTGACCCCTCTCCCCGCCTGGGGGCGAGGTGACCAATGCCCGGTGACCCCTCTCCCCGCCTGGGGGCGAGGTGACCAATGCCCGGTGACCCCTCTCCCCGCCTGGGGGCGAGGTGACCAATGCCCGGTGACCCCTCTCCCCGCCTGGGGGCGAGGTGCTCACCTGACAACCGGATGGATGCTGAACCTCACCTGTGGCCGGGGACCGCAGCCCACCGCCAGGTGGACCACACTGCCTGCGGGGCCAGTGAAGGAGCCACAGGCTCCAGGCTTCGGTGAGAATGTGAAGGGACCAGAAGAGCCCGAGTGGACACAGCGAGAACTCCAGGTGCCGTCCCATTCCCAGCAGCCCTGCCTCTGCAGGCAGAGCGAGCTCAGTGTAACCGGGGTGTGGCTTTACGTGTTCCTGGGCCGTGGTTTCCACGACGTACTCGAGTCCCAAGCTCACTCCCGGTCGGGACTCCATGTCCCGCGGCACCTCCCACCCTCTCCCCCCCGGTCTGACTCTTCCCAGACCTTTGAACAACCGCCATGCACCCCGACACCTAAGAAAACCGCCTCTCAGAACCCAGATGGGTGCACGCGACGCCCGAAGCCGCACACTGACGTCTGAGTCGTAGGAATTCAGGAGGAAGCAGGGGCTGTCTCCGGGGAGGGAGAGGGGACTGAGAGACGGAGGCAGGGTTGTTTTTATGGCATATTTTTAAACGGTAGCACGTTCCTGTGTTAAACTAGAAAACAGTTTTCAAATTTAAAAATATCCAAAGGCACCAACCACACCAGCCCTTCAGAGCTGTTTGTTGGAGCCACAACATTTGCTCCTCCTCGAACAAAAGGCCTGGCCTCACTGCTCACAGGGTGGGGAACCTCCGGCCCCTGGGCCCCATCAGGCCCTGAAGGTCTGTGGTCTGGCCCTGCCAAGGCATCAGGGGGAGCTGGTTAAATGTCTGACCCACAGAGCAGCTGGCTTCTAAGTGGATAATGTTGTGTGGCCTGGAATGACATGGCCCTTGGCAGGAAGGTTCCCCACCCCTGCTTGAAAGCACCTGTTTTCTGTATAAAGTGGAGATGAGTAAACAGCAGAGCCCTGAACCCTCCTGCTTTCACCCCGAACCGCCTTCCTGTGTCTGTCTTGGTTAGGCCCTGAAGTCCTGTGGTCTGGAACGTGGCTGATCATCCACAGAAGCCACAGCGTCCCCTCCTGGGCCCCGGGGGCAGAAAGGGGCACCAGTCTCCTTCCAGGGGAGGCCCAGGTCAGGGGCCTCTGCCCTCGCCTCCGTCCCCCACGGAGGTCGGAGGTCTGGAGGCAGAGCTTCTGGTGAAATGCTTAAAGGGGAGCAGGGAACACTTAGAGCAGTGGTTCTCAGCCTTCTGGCCCTTTAAATACAGATCCTCATGTGGTGACCCAACCATAAAATTATTTTCGTTGCTACTTCATAACTGTAATGTTGCTACTGTGATGAATCGTCATGTAAATACCTGATGTGCAGGATGGTCTTAGGCGACCCCTGTGAAAGGGTCGTTCGACCCCCAAAGGGGTCGCGACCCACAGGTTGAGAACCGCTGCAGCTGCTCTGCAACCTGGGCCACATCTCCACGGGAGAGAACGTTTAAAGAAAAAAAAAAGGCTTGCCGCCCCCGCCCTCCTCTGCGAAAGGCCCCCCAGTGCCCACGCCAGGAGGTGAGGCCTGGCGGGCCCAGCAGGGTCTCCCCTCCTCCCTGGCCCTCTCTTCTGGAACATTCAACACGCGGTGTCTGCCTACTGATCGGACAGCCTCTGCTCTGGGACGTTCTGGAAGAGCCACGCTCTTTCCGTCTCTCTCCGCACCCGCACTACCCTCCATCTACGCCTCTCAGAGGGGCACCCGCAGGCCTTGAGGTGAGAACAAAGCCGGGGCCCCAGGAGGAGAAGCAGCGGGAGGAGCAGGGGCTGAGGAGGCAGACAGGCGGGCTCCTTCCCTCCCCGGCTGTCCCTGCCCTCGCGCGGCGGACGTATTTTTCAAGTTTCTAAGAAAATGAGCCCACGGAGGTTGTGCTTAAACCAGCACCCACGGCAGTTCCCACACAGCGTTGCTCCGCCGTGAGCACGGGCTTCAGGGGCAAAGCTGGGACAGTCACCGGCGCCGGAGCCCACTATCAAATCTCAGGCAAGTGGAGCGGCGAGTGACATCGCTGCTACTTCTCATGCAGGTAGGCCAGCGGTTCTCAACCTGGGGGTCGCGGCCCCTTTGGCGGTCGAACGACCCTTTCACAGGGGTCGCCTAAGACCATCCTGCACATCAGATATTTACATGACGATTCATCACAGTAGCAGCATTACGGTTATGAAGTAGCAACGAAAATAACTTTATGGTTGGGTCACCACATGAGGATATGTATTTACAGGGCCAGAAGGTTGAGAACCACTGCTGTAGGCTGTGTCCTCACACGCATACAATTCACACAGGAGAGCGAGAAGAGGCCAAGTCACCACAGAACCAAGGCAGACGGCTGACGGCAGAGCCAGACGGACACGTCGAAGGAACTCTTCCCTGAACCCAACAGTCAGTACAACACCAACCCCCTGAAGCCGGCTCCTTCCCCGAGAAACCCCACAGCACGTGCTGATCCTGTAATGTGAGCAAATACTCCTGCTGGGTGACGCTGTGGCCTCAGTGTGCACCTCCCTGAAGGGTTTCTCTTGGCGGTGGTGGGGCTGGAGGGTGAGCCAAGGAGAGAGGGAGGAGGAGCGAGGGTTCCGGGGGAGGAGAAAGGAAAGAAGCCCGAGTGGGCTTGCGGGAGGGAGGTGAGGAATGCTGGCCTGGACCTGAAGCACAGAGGGGCTGACGTCCAGGCCTGCTGACCCTAGGCGAGCCCATCCTAACCCTGCCCCCAGCCCCGGAGGGCACACTGCCAGGCGGACCCACACCTGCTCTAGGAGGGCCCTGCTACCATCACTGCGTTTAACGAGGCTGGTGACCTATGTGGGCGTAGGTGTGACTCCCACTGCGCTGGGAATCAGCACAAGAGAACACAGTAAGTTGGGACACAGTGGAGAACGTGGCTTAGTCTTCATCATCCGACCCTTCAGGGCTCAGCACCGTGCCAGGCACACAGTAGGTGTGCAACAAAGATTTAAGCAAAGTGGCTCCCCCCTCCCCCATATGGGCTATTGGAGATTTCATTTCTAACCTTGACATCTAAAACATTTGTTTTCATTTTTTTAAATGAAGGCTAAATACTTAGAGCCTTTATGCTCAGGGCTAAGCAGGCAAAGACGATAAGTCAACCTTAAAATATTATTATAGCCCTGGCCGGTTTGGCTCAGTGGATAGAGCGTCGTCGCCCTGCGGACTGGAAGGTCCCGGGGTCGATTCTGGTCAACGGCACATGCCCTGGTTGCGGGCTTGATCTCCAGTGTGGGGCGTGCAGGAGGCAGCTGGTCAATGATTCTCTCTCATCACTGATGTTTCAATCTCTCTCTCCCTGCCTCTCTGAAATCAATAAACATATTTTTAGAAAGTTATTATAAAATATTTGTATTCTCTCCCAGGCACTGGCAGCAAAGCAGCGGCAAAAGGGGCAACGTCCCAAGAATGGACTTTCGGAAAAGAAAGAATGAATAAAAGTCACAAACACAGTCTTGCTCTCAAGAACACTCCGCCGTGCGTTTCTGAAGGGCGATTCTGCTTATGGAGATAAAAGACGAAACAGAATCCCTTTGCAAGCTGTTTCAACGTCTGCTCACAACGCTGTACACCTGAAACTAAGATGTGTGGGGCAACTCTAATGGAAAAAAATTCAAAAATTATTTTTAGAAAAGATAAAACAGCCCGAAATCAATTAGAAAGTTTCAAGCACAGGTTGAAATACATTGAGTCAGATTCATTACTTTATACATCACAGTGAGTCAACTATTGTAAAAGATATGGTGGTGTATACACACACACACACACACACACACACATAAATGCATATACATATGGTCACATATATACAAACATACACGCATCCTTAAAACACAGACATTCCAATAGAAATGGCAGCAGACCCTGCAAGCATACCAAGTGTGTTAAGTTTAAACAGGCTGCGCTGATAGCGTATCAAGGACAAACAGGGCTCTAAACACAGAATCTCCCTCCGTGTAAACGCTGCCACCTCGTTTACAAATATTTGATTTGTCAAAAGCTGATCTGCAGACATTTTTGCCAGGAGTTTAGGGCAGAGGGGCTCTCCAGGTCTCCCCGGGGGCCCCTGGGGCAGCTCCGACTGGGAGGGGCTGGTGAGGGGTGTCGGTGACTTCGCCCCCAGCCCCAGGGAGGTCAGGACTCGCTTTCACGGGGACTCAGCCGCGCACTCTCACTGCTAATCTCGCTTCTTCAGCATCACAAACACGGACTGAGCGTTTCACAAACAAGTGCCCCCTTTGTTAATATTTTCTTTGGATTCCACCAACACCTTCCTGGCCTCTTCAGGGGGCGTGTTGTGGGGGAGACCTCGGTACCGCTCCCTCGGGCAGCATCAGGCCGAGAATCAATGAACCACGTCTGCCGGTGACACAACACCCAGCACTGAGGAGACCAGAAAGACTCGGAGCCTGGAACAAAGGCCAGTCCAGCTCTGGGCCAGGCCCTGCGACTCCATCTCTTCCCAGGACCTCGCCCGCCTGCCCAGGTGAGGGCTCAGGTGTCAGCCACTCCGAGTCCCTAGGGAAGGAACGGAGCCAACGCCCTTCTCTCCTTACTCACCCTCCCCAACCTTTTCATCAGGACACGCTGCGGCCCAGGAGCGCATCCCAAAGCGGCCACTTGGTCCGAAGAGCAGAGGGGCCGGTCCCGGCTCCAGCTGCTGAGGGTCCCACCGAGCCTCACCGGGCTCACGGGCACAGCGATCGCGTGGGGGGCCCACTGACCAGGAGGAGGCTGCAGGTCAGGGGGGAGGCGCCACCCAGTCCTTCAGTCTTTTTATTTTTAATTTTTATTGATTTCAGAGAGGGAGGGAACGGGAGAGAGAGAGAGAAACATCAATCATGGATCGGCGGCCTCCTGCACGCCCCACACTGGGGATCGAGCCTGTACATGGGCACGTGCCCTGACCGGGAATCGAACCCTGACCTCCTGGTTCATAGGTCGATGCTCAGCCACTGAGCCACACCCGCCGGGCACTTCCGTCTGTTCTATCGATACTTTGGTTAGTTTGAGTGTCTGTCACTCCCACCTGAATGCCAAGTCGGTGAGAAATGAGAACTTTGCTTGTGTTCTAGGCTGGGTCACCAGTGACCAGCACACAGTAGGTGCTCCATAAATGCCGGTTGAATGAGTGGGCACGGGAGAGACCTGGGACTGTTGCCATTGTCACTAACTGTGCTTCCTGGGGCAGGCGGCTCACTCTCTCCAGCCGACAAGACGGTATGGGGATTAGACGGGATTGTGTACACGGAGGGTGCACAGTCACAGGTTACAGTGCTGGGGCTCACGACAGGCCACCCCCAAACATCCCACAACGGCAGGCCGATGCCTTTGAATTCAAGGCACTTGACCAGCAGCCTGTGCCGGAGGGCACCTTCCCTCCCTTGTCAGTCTCTGCAGTCAGAGCTGATGGCCTCTTTGCTTAAACTCCTCCCTGAAGGGCACCCATAAACCTGGCCTCGATTCCTGTCCAGTAAGCACCGGCTTTCTCTGTCCTGTCAATTTCTCCCCAATGTATCGCTTACTTGTCTAAAAAGTTTTCAGAGGTGACCAATTCTCCCATTTCTTTGAGCCGCATGTTATATGATCTGAGCATCCTATACGGTTATTCTCCCGCGTGCACATTATTAAACTGTCTTTCCTCCTGTTAATCTAGGCTTGTGTTAATTTTATTACTTTATTACCAGTCCAGCCCGTGAGAACTACAGAAAGGCAAAAGGGGGGTGCGCTTCTCCCCTCCCCAACCATCTGTGTTAGCCGCTGGCATGCCGGAGGGAGGCATGCTTCAGGGATGAGACGTGTAGCCCCGACACCAAGCAACACGTTGGAGGCTAATAATCTAATTTCCGTTCATACTTCATAGTGCACATACTCTTGACTGACCTCATCTCTGAACAAGTGGGTTGCAAGTCAGACGAACATGTCAACTATCTGGTGATTTCTATCAGTTGAACAGCATTTTATCTGTCGAGCAGGCAGAGAGTGAAGAGAATGACGTAATCTCTCTCGCATCAGCATCGAACAGTGCACCACTGTCTGAGGCAAGACATTGCCGGAAAGTTCCACGTTCTTTATTGCATCTGGATAAGATCTTTCCTGGTTGTCAAGTGGCCATGAGCCTGTTTAAAAAACTATTTATTGAAAAAAACAAAACCCTGTCATTTATAATCTGCTCATATGCATTGCTTTTAATGATAGATGCTTAAAAGATCCTCGCTGTGGATTCCAGATCATTAAGATATTTGCTTATTCAAAGACATTTAGAAATTTGGGGGTTTACTGGTATCACAACATTCTAATGAAAATTATAAATAATGAGATCAATTCCATTGTTGATAATCAGAAAAAAATCGCATTGTATATTTTTTAATGACATGGATACTTTTATTGAACACTGAAGACATGAATACTTATGTCATTTCAACTTTTTCTGTTTAAAATCTACTCATTAGCCCAAAATTAATCCTTTCAACATTCATATAGAGTATAAATGATCCTCTTCATGATACAACTGAGGAGCGTATAAGAGCTTGAGGATATAATTTTATTTTCATATTTAGTGAGTGACACACGGGCTCCAAGAGGGAGGCTTAGAATTTAATACGTATTTTTCTCTAAACTTCAGTTTTTATTCTTTGCCTTTTGATCATTATTTTATTCCTCCCATAGACGTGGGATTTCCTACTGATGTCTTTACATATGTCCATTCCTTCGCCTGCGTTTATAAAAATGTTGCGAATTTGGGGGTCCTCTGTCTTAGCTTTAAAAGAGAAAACGGGGGCTCCGTTGTAAGTTGTTTATAATCCCTCTACTTTTCCTCGCCTGTCAACAATCTCTCACGATAGAAATGGCTTTTAAGAGTCACCAGTCACCGAGCGCTTGCTAACCACAGGGCAGGATTCCCACGTCCACTTGCCAACGCGAAGCTGAGTGACCCGCCTACACCACGGCCATCGGGTGAGAGCTCAGGGGGCTGTGCTCCCCACGCCCCCCGAGACTGCGCTGCCTCAGCGCGCACCCCCTGCCTTGCCTTCCTGCTGCCTGTCCTTGGCTTCCCTTTGGCTCCTATGTCACTGGTGTTGCCTCCAGCCTGTCACGTCACTCCCCAGCGGCCAGTGGCTCCGGGAGGCCCTGGTGCCTGGGCAAGGCCTGCTGAGCAGCCTGCAGAGCCTCCGGGGGGCGGGGGGGACCCCACAAAGCACCTCCGTGTAGTAAACGCTCCCCTTTGCCGGGCGCTTCACCGGCCTTTTTATGGTGCTTTTTACCAGTCGGAGCCCTGCGTTGGCACTGGTTCACTTTTCCTTTAAGGGCCCCCAGGGGCGGGGAACGGACAAGGGCCCTGGGAGCATGTCCTCCATCACACAACAGCCAGGGAGGGACCGGGACGGAGCCGCCACCTGCGCCCAGAGGCCAGACCAGGGGCCGCCACCTGCACCCAGAGGCCAGACCAGGGCCCGCCACCTGCACCCACGAGGCCAGACCAGGGCCCGGGGGTCAGCACTGAACCACCGCAGGGAGGGTACCCAGGGCCGCCACCTGCACCCAGACCAGGGGCCGCCACCTGCACCCACGAGGCCAGACCAGGGCCCGTGGGTCAGCACTGAACCACCGCAGGGAGGGTGCCCGGAGCAGAGCTTCATATTAGAACAGCGGTTCTCAACCTGTGGGTCGCGACCCCTTTGGCGGTCGAACGACCCTTTCACAGGGGTCGCCTAAGACCATCCTGCATATCAGATATTTACATGACGATTCATCACAGTAGCAACATTCCAGTTATGAAGTAGCAACGAGAATAATGTTATGGTTGGGTCACCACATGAAGAGCTGTATTAAAGGGCCAGAAGGTTGAGAACCGCTGTATTAGAAGACCCTCAATGACGACAGCGTTCAGCCACCTCCGTCCTGAGCGAGTGCCGACACCTGGAAGGCTGGGCCACGCTGCCACCCTGAGCGAGACGGTCCCTTTTCTGTGCTGAAACGCAAACCCGCGTCCTCCCTCTTTCCCGGAAAGCCCAGCAACAGGCTTCCCCATCTTCAGGTGACAGCTGAGCGGGCTGAGGGCCCGGCCGGCCCTGGCCCTGGCCCTGGAGCCTGACTGGCCCTCGGCAGCAGGTGGACTGGAAGCGGCTCAGCCTCCAGGGCCGCTGGCTCTCACCCTGGGTGGGCATCTCAGTCCCTGTCCTCCACCCTCACTCCGCTCCCGCTGTGCACGGAGCATCATGGGGCTCCCTCACCCCCTCCCGTCAGGGTTTACGCTCCGGGCGCTTTTCTGCCTCCCCGACAAGACTGTCAGCGAGTCTCCAATCCCGAGGCCTGTATCCGTGTCCCTCCATCCCCCTCTCCCAGCCCCTGCCCCAGGCCTGTATCTGTGTCCCTCCATCTACCTCCCCCAGTCCCTG